GCAATTTTTTTCAGGCCTGGGTCCCCCTGATACACTTTTGCAGAATGACCAGGCTCTCTTCAAACCTGCTAAATCTCAAAGAGATTGGGTGAGATCTTGCACGATTTCATGAGACCACCTCTGTAGGACCTGTGTACTGTAAAAAAAAAAATCAGTTTTTATAGGATGAAAATAGTTCCTTTGGTAGTGTAGACGTGTCATGTGTTTGTATATAGGTGTGTAAATATTCTCTTTTTTCAATCTTATTCAGAGCGACTGCTTCCCCTTCTTGCTAGTGCTTTAACAGTGCATTTTCCCTACACGTTTGAATTAGTTATATGGGTGATCCTCTCCAACAAAATATATTCGCATAATAATAATAGTAGTTGTTTTATCTTTCATGCTCCTCCCATTCAGCAGAGTTCAAAATACCACCACCAGCAGTAGTAGTAGTAGTAGTAGCAGCTGTTCTTGTTTTATTTTTCAAGGGAAAAGGTCGGGAAAGAAGTAACTGAAAAAGGGAAAGAAAGACAGAAGCCCTATTTAGATAATACAAAAGGTTAAATTCACCAGATAAACAGCCCCTCCCAGGCATCAGCTAAACTCACGGAGCAGTTGGAAGATGCCACAAAGTTAAATTAGCTATTCAGACTGAGCTGCGGGATGCCGTGAGCGAGGACAAATGACGGCAATTGATGCTAAAATCTCTGGTTTGGGGATTAGTTACAGGAGGAGAAAGAAAGAGATTAATTTAGGCGTATATGTTCAAATATGTGACTGTGAGGAAGCAAAATATAAATAAGCAATGGTAAGGTATAACATTTTTAAATAGTTAAAAAAAAGTCCCAGTTGCAGATAGCCTATCCGAAAAGGCAGGAAGACCCCACAACCATGCTGAAAAACATAAGATGAAAAAGTCAACGGAGAGCCACAGGGATCCATTCATGTAGCAAATAAGGCACAAATAACCTTGGTGAGTATTTTTCTCAAGAAGGATTAAGCGTTTGGTATTTATTTCACTCTGCCCAAAACATGAAAGTTGTGATCTCGGTGGCAAAAACTTAAACGTTGGAATTTTAAAACAGTGAAGATGTAGTTGGTTCTGATCTTAGATGCTACAGCAAAGAAAGTTTCAGAAGGGTACATAATCTCATAAGACATAACTCTTGGGCTTGGTTGGTAAAAAATATATATAAAGGGGTGGGTTTACGCTGTTGGTTTCCATCTCATTGTGGGGAGCTATTTCCTGATCCATCAGGAACAAGGTGGGTGAATAGAAACATTTCAGAACAAGTTTTTTTTCCTTGAGCAGTCGTAGCAAGACGATGGGCCACCAGTGTCTTTTCTGCAGAGCAAAGATACTAAGAACCATTGAAGATAGGCCAGAATTACTGTCCCCAGGTTGGAGGGCTGCAACTGAGTGTGTCTTCATGAGAAGCAGCCGCGATACGTTTAAACAGAGATTAAATTGGTTTCTTGATTCAGAGCTTGGGGTCTTAGGGCCTTCAGCTGTTTGTCTCCCACATGTAACCAGCTGGAAATGAAGTTAACTGAAAAAAATCTTCTTCCCCTTTGGCCATGCTGATGGCAGATTTTCCATCCAGACCCTACCTGCCGTGGCCCCTGATTGGAGGGTTTCCCCTACTCGCCAAGACAGCAAGCACCAATCACCTTCCTTTCCATGGGGGGCTTCTTTGAGATCTACCACCCCAAGAGTTTTACAGCGTTTCCTGTTATTTCAGCTAGAAGGAGACGCTGGCAAAACCCTTGCCCGTTTCAACTGGTTAAAAAACGAAAACCAGGCCCTCCCTTCCCCTGCTCCACTTTTTCATCAGTGAATTGGTAAAAAAATTAAAACCTTGCCCTGTCACCATCTCATTGGTGTAGTGATGGAACAACAAAAAGCTCAGCCTTTTATTGGTCTGTTGGTGAAACGAGCAAGCAAACGAACAAACAAAGAGGTCCACTCTTTTCCATTCAGAAGAGAGCAGGCAGCTGATCCACCCAAGAGGAAAGGACGAGGAAGGCAGGGCCAAAGGGGAGGGGCATTCCTGCCACAGCACACAATAGCCAATCAGAGGAGAGGCATTTGCCTACAACAGAATCAAATGCAGCAGACAGGCCACACACCACCATTTGTGCTGGAACAAGCGGGAAAACACTATTTTTGATGTGTAGCAAGAAAAACCATTGAAGGCTGCCTTCCCAGGGGGCTGGAGGTGGATAATGTTGTACATTCCTGCCCTTAGTGTGATGGAAAGGAATTATGAAGGCCAAGCTCAGGGAGATAAGCATTTTCTTAGTTCACAGGAACCGCGTGGGAGGAACAAGAGGATGAGACTGGCACCTCCCTGAGGAATTCACACTGTTGTGGCTGCCGGGGTTTGGGATCTTGGGTTTTTGTCTGGGGAGATTCTTGCTAGAGGGGGTAGCTAATAAACATAGCTGGACTGAATTTGCATGGTCTCTTGGAGTTCCTTGGGCTAGGCCTGACACTTAGCAATTATTAATGGCCTGTTCTCACCCTGGGACAAGCTGGTCATGCAGATCAGCCCTTATCTTCAGCTATGAACGTGTCATATGATTCTAAGTTTTTATGAGGTTTTGTTGGAACTTTGCAGAGCTGTTTTTCTTTCAAAAGCGTAATATTTTATTATGCAATACCAACTGGGGAAAGAAAAAGAAACAAAAAGGGGGGGGGGAATTGCAATGTATGGAGCAACCAGAGTGTTGCACATGCCAATTGGAGGGGGCTTTTAACATGCTCAGTGACCTTGCTCAGAGCTGGAACTTCAGCCAAGGGAACCACCGGTTCACATTAAAGCTGTACGGGCCAGTAGTACAGCATAGATCCATTTCTGGGTGTGCGGTAAGGGCACACAGTGGGGGCAGCAAGATTTGGGGTGGATTTCCTGCTGGCTGTGGATTGGGAGGGGAATACAGCAAAGCAGCTATATGGATGTGGCCTAACTCACAGAGAAGCCCGTAACCAAGCATGAAGTGCAAATACGGACATTGGGTCTTTAGCTGACTTGATTAAATGTCTCCTATGAACACAGTTAATTCATCTCTGCTAAGAGTCTGCTCTGTTTCCAGAGTTTGGGGTGATTATCAAGGCATAGGTAGCCAGAATGGCAGCTCGTACAGACCAGAGGGAGGTATCACCTCCTTTGGGGGAGTTTCAGAATTTGCTGCAGCAACAACCATCTGTCCTTTAGGAGAGGAACACCTAGGAGAGGGAGCATCATTTAACCAACCTGATACTCTGTGGCCAAAAATGTGGGTTTGCACAGTATTTAGCAACTGAATTAACTGATTTTCTGGTTTGCATAAGACACTGAATCATGAAATAATAAATGGATGGGTTAGCCCAACACATTAAACTGCAAATTGTCTGTCTGTCTGTCTGTCTGTCTGTCTGTCTGTCTATCTATCTATCTATCTATCTCCTAGCTTATAAATTGACTATGCTTGGTATTGTATGCTATGTGAATATAGCCAGTAGATTTTTAACTGGGGGGGGGGGGGATTTAACTGTGGGGTTCTTGGTGGTCTCTGGGCTTGGGGGGTTGCTTGCAGGCGTTTCATTACCTATCTATCTATCTCCTAGCTTATAAATTGACTATGCTTGGTATTGTATGCTATGTGAATATAGCCAGTAGATTTTTAACTGGGGGGGGGGGGGATTTAACTGTGGGGTTCTTGGTGGTCTCTGGGCTTGGGGGGTTGCTTGCAGGCGTTTCATTACCTATCTATCTATCTCCTAGCTTATAAATTGACTATGCTTGGTATTGTATGCTATGTGAATATAGCCAGTAGATTTTTAACTGGGGGGGGGGGGGATTTAACTGTGGGGTTCTTGGTGGTCTCTGGGCTTGGGGGGTTGCTTGCAGGCGTTTCATTACCCAACTAGGTAACATCATTAGTGCGAGGGAGTGTGGGGTTTGCTGCCTGTTTATCTATAGTAGCTTGCCCTGCCAGTTTGGTGGGGGTGTGGTTTCCTCCTTGGTGGTTCCCTGATTAGAGTATTGTTTTCTGCCTGTTTGTTTGGTGTTAGTCTGATTTAAATGGAGCAGTGGGGCACTTGCTCTAGAAAATGATGTTGTAGGTCCACTGCTGTCCTTATCATTCTAGAGAGTTGCCTTCTCTCTTTATGACACTGGGCGTATTGACTGCTATATGTTGAACTAGGACCTTGGAGTTCTTGGTTTCAGCAGAGTGTCCCTGAATTCCAGGAATGGTTGCAACAGCACTCTTGTGCATTCCTAAATACTTTTCGGGGGACTGAATCCGAAATGCTGGAGGACCCTAAGATTTTGTATAATCAGTTGCGCAATGCTTTGGATTCAGTTCGGAAAAGCAGCAATATCTTTTCCTTTTTTCTGCCATAACATATATTTTTACACAGCAGAAAATCAGTGATCAAAAGCCAAACTTTCTTGCCTCCTCCTCCTCCTCCTCCTCCTCCTCTTCCTCTTCTATTGTCGCCCAACTCCAACTTGACTACAGTATAAGGTGACATCCACGCAGAGCCCTTGATTTCATCTGAATTCTGGATATGTCCTGCTTCTATATATTGTAATAGTGTAAGGAAAAATAACCCTTCATTTACACCTTCACATAATCCTGTCATCACTGTTCCAATCCCTTAGCCGTGAAGTTTACTGGGTTACCACAGCTTTGAGCCAATCCCTAATTTCCACAATTCCCTATCTCACATGAATGTTTTAGGGATCAAATGCAAAGCAGAGGCATTTACAGGATTCCCTTTCTGCCTCTTTCATACTTGTGAGCAACATCCCAATGCCTGTATGAAAGAGTTGGAGCTTGTGGCCTGACGGTGCAACACAGCATTTGTCATTTGTCACATACTCCCCTGCAGACACTTCTGGGGATGGCCAATATAGCTAGTTTTTCACTCCTTTGAAAAGGTGGGAAGAATATCAAGATACTTCTGCGTTTATGCTAATTTATGCTTGAAAATGCTATGATTCCTTCTATGGTGATTGCTTTCTGCGCAGGGGTCCGCTACAACCAGCCAGGTGGCCATGAAGTGACTTCCTCTACTACCATCAGCCATCATGGTAACAACTCGATGGTGACCACCAGCCAGCCAATTCTCCAGCCAGTGTCTCCAGCCAGTTTGGATCCAAGTCACAGCCACAGCCTGCTGTCCCCCGACGGTAAAATGGTGAGCACACCTGGGCTATTGTGGCTCAGGTGCTGATAAGATAAGTTGGCCTAGGAGCTAAAAAACAAACAAAACTTTCTTTTTTTCTACATCTTTAAAACTCTCCTTTTTTTTTTTTTCTCACAAGACCTACATTAAACAATGAAGTGCTTGTAGGCATGGGGAGGGGGAAAAAAGTGAGTGCTGTCAGGAGAAATAGCCCTCTGACCTTCTCTTTCCCTGCTTAGGCATTGAAACATGCCAATAAAAACTGTTCTCAGTGTATTGATCGAATGCCTTCTGAATTGGGACAATGGGGTGGATCACTGTTTATTCTTCACTGCTGATGACATTCCTCATGATTAAAAAAAAAACTCCCACTAAAAACCTGATTAAGTCATCCCAGATTCCACTTAACCCTTCAAATTTTATAATTTTATTTAGCAAGCTTCAACAGTCCTTTTTATTTCCTTCCATTCTTCAGATATGGACATTAGACGGAGTAAAGGATAATAACAATGCTTTTATCACTGTAGTACCACTGATACTTGAGCGTTTGCTGTAATATAGGAATGGATTCTTCAGTTCAAGACATTGCACCGTGATAGAAAAGTTGGTTTCACGGTGTTTTTTGGCTGTGAGACCTCCAGCTTGATGCCTGATTTACAGCTGCAATGACAGACATATATTAGGGTTCTTCTGAAGAACTGTATAAACAGAAAACACCGAGACAATATTTGATTATTGGGCAGATGAAAAGTATAAAATCATTTTCTTCTTCTTTTCGCCACTTTTTCAGGCAAACGGTCTCCCTTTCTCCTACCACTTGTTTTCAGGAGCAGAGCATATATGTCGATTTGTTTATACTCTTGCTTAATAATAATGTTAAAGGATTTTAAAAAGAAACAAAAATCAAGCACAAAACGGTTCCAGGGATTACTCGTCAGTTTTCCCTCTTCATAACCCCCATGTGAATTGGGGGTTCTGCTTTTCCTATTGATAGTTGAAATGGAAGGACCTTTCCTACAATATTTTTTCCCCTGATCTGGTTGGGGGGAAAGTACACTTGCACTTTTTATTTATGATCACAAACAGGCTGGGAACGTGCACAGGGCTTTACACCATCATTCTGTGCACACTCATCTAAGACTAAAGTCAGTAGGGCTTGCTTCTAAGCAAACAGGGTTAGGGTTCTACGATCAGGATAGCGAAAAACAAGCTATGTTTTAAAATGTGTTCCTGGTCTAATAGCAGGTGAAAGCGTAAATAAATCAGAATTTGCCCTGGAATTGGGCATATGAATTATTCCAGGGTTTAATTCCAAGCACGGCTTAGGGGGGCCATCATTCCAGAGAATGCCGTAGTGGGTTGGTCTTTTATCACGGGGTTTAAATTCTTTCCCAGTCAAGTGATTTCCCCTCCCTTGGCCTTATTAATTCATATTTTTTTGTCCTAATTGTTTTTCCAAGATTAGCTGGGACCTTATGCTGGCTTTTTGCAAATAGGTTTTTTTTTTTAAAAAAAATTGTATTATGTATGCATGCCTGGCCGAGGAATGTCTCCTTCCTTAGGGGAAGAATAGAAGGAACAATGTCCTGTGCTGAGGAACGTTTTTATTCTCTTTATATTTTATGGGCAGCTTAGGGTGTGAAATATGACCGTCTGATCCCAGGTCAGGAGCTTTTAACCTTGTTCTGCTGAACGGTATGGTTTCTAGGAAGCAAAGACAGGTCTATCCCATTGGACATAGGGAAACAACCAGCTCCCTTTGTCAATGATGGAGATCACATTGTCATTCTCCTGGCTGTTCAGCTATTCTCCTCGATGAGCACCGAGTCCTTAAAAAGCTAGAGGTGGTTGAAGGACTCTCTTCTGTCAGCAACCTTTGTACCCATGGACAAGAAGCACCATCTTGTCTATTGCTGTTGGCAGCAAGATGCCTTGGATCAACCCTGCTTAGAGGTTTCTTTGAGGGTGATATGAGTGTAGGGTTACCAGATATCTGAACAAGCAGACATGGACAATTGGAAAAGAAGACAAATGGAGGGGGAAAGGAGGACACATTTAACTTTCTTGGCATTCATGACAAAAATTACTGCAAAAAACTAAAACAATGTACTTAGACCTACAGGTTTATGAAATTACCTTTTCCAGCATCAGAAAGACTGGTTTTTCAATTGCAACATTTTTCCAATCAATCTTTATTTTACCGATAGAAGAGAATATGTGTAGCTCAGGGTTGAACTGTGGTGTCCTTGGGGTTCTCTGAGCTTGGTTGCTTTCTTGCAGACATTTTGTCACCCAGCTAGGTAACATCTTCAGTGCTAGAATGGAATGGGGTTTGTGCTGAAGATGTTACCTAGCCGGGTAATGAAACGTTTGCAAGAAAACAACCAAGCTCAGAGAACCCCAAGGACTCCACAATCTTTATTTTCAAGAACATATGCTAAAGATAATACAGAATCGACAACAATGTGCTTTTTAAATTTCAGCATAGAAATGTATGAGGAGTCATGGGATCTATAGACTCCCGTGATTGTAGATTTGAAGGGGCTGGATTGAAGCCAATTGCTGGAATCAGGAAATAAATTAAGTAACGTAAATTATTGAGTTGTTGGGTTGAGTTGAGTTGCTGTTGAGTCTGTCGACGGACAAGGGAAAAAAAGAAGCAGACAATTTATAAGGTCACAATAAACAAAAGTTTGAATGACTACTGTTGTGAACACAGTTCCCCCCCCCCACAAAAAAAAGTCACTCAAAAAGCTGGACAATATTTGATGTTAAGGCTATGTCTGCTGGATGGAGGACGTGAGGACAAATAGGAGGACACATCCTCCTTTTGCCAAATACCCAGTAACCCTACATGAGTGTTCTCTATGTCAACAGAAGCCTCTCCCTGTCCTCTAATGTATTTCTATGCAAAGGTGGGAACATGTTGTTGGCCATGAGGAGCGTCAAGCCCTAGCCATCCAACTGTTCTTTCTACCCTGTCTTTGTGGGGACAGCATAGATAATGGAAATGCCTCCTGCCTAATAGAGAGGGGAATCTGAGGCCATGAGGTTGGTGGCACCAGGCTTGATGAACTTCTCTAGAAAACAGTTTGCCTACCACTGTTGATCTTCCCATCAGCCTGTTGGCAAGACGAAGGGAGACCCATCCTTGACCAATGCCCCTGGGTGAACAAAATATGTACTTTCAGAATTCAAGGATGCCACAGTGCCAGACCATTAGAACTGACAACAAAAACAGTCAATGCTCTGATGGCCTAAAAACCTTTCCTGTGAACAAACTTGGCAAAATACAGTCAATTTCAAACATCTATCACTTCATCTGAAGTCTGTCTATATTTATTTTCTTTAACTCCTTTGTACTATTATATCTGTTTTCTTCTTCTTTGTTTGGGCTCTGCCAACCCTCGGTGGCAGAAGACTGAGAATATTTTAGCAATTCATCTGGTGGGGTTATTTTTCTTGGCCTGGCTTGACTGATTCATGTCACACTGGATGGTTTTTATAGCCTTTCTTTCTCTCTCTCCCTTGGTTGGGGATGCATAGTTCTTGACTGAGACAGCCTGGTCTTCCATCCAGAAAGTCATTTTTGACTCTCTCAGCCAGGGTCATATGGGCCTCCAGACAGAAGGTTGCCAAGGATTCCCACCACCCCCTTCAAGTGAAATATGAGGCATATTTCCAAGACAGTCTTTTTTTCTCAAGTGAACCGCTTGTAGGAGTTGTGAAGTTGAAGGAATTTAAAATCATGCTTAGCAACATATCTCAGGGGTTGGGGGAGGTTGTGCTGAGTTTCACTTAAAGCAAAATGCAAGCCGTGTTTGAATGGTCTTGTTCAGTTGAAACAACTACTTTACAGCAAGAAGCAAAGGACAAGGTGGCGCTCCTTCCATTCTACATAGAGGAGGCAAGCAACAGGGCTGGTAGTTGAAATTTACTCCAACTAGAAATGGAGTGGGATCTCATTGATGGCTTCAAGCTAGTTTAGTTGGTGCAGGATAAGCTCTGTCCCCCATAGGTGAGGAATAGCCTGAGCACCAGAAGAGACAGCTAGAGAGGGATCACAGCTATGCCTATCATCTTCTACTTGGGACAGTTGTTCACTCTACCTAACAGTAGGGCCAATCATGACAGGGCAAAGATGGCACTGCAAAGTTCTGTGTACAATCTGAGGACCATGGGCATGCTGTGAATATTTTGGATAAACAAATAAAATATTTGTTGATTAAAAACGTTTGGATCTTGCTACTCTGCCTCAACAAGAATGACACAAGATGAATAATAGTGTGTTGTTGACGGTCCACGCCTTAATTCTGACTGGTTCATTCTTTCTTCCCTTGACAGATTACAGTTTCTGGCGGTGGGCTCCCTCCGGTCAGTACCCTTACCAATATCCACAGCTTTTCCCATCACAACCCACAACAATCCCAGAATCTTATTATGACACCTTTATCAGGAGTCATGGCTATCACACAAAGTAAGTGCTTTATTCGTTAGACAAAAGTCTTCTTGTTTCCATAATTATTCATGATGACCCCTTTCCTTATATAGCACCATCAGGAAACATGGAGCTTTATGGAGTCCAAGAGGGCAGGATCCCGTCCCAGCGATTTTGCAGAATATTTACTATATCTCCCTTTCTTCTTCCTGCAATTGTCACTGACTGTCGTAGCACTGAACTGGCTTTAATTGGTGCTAGTCTCCCATTGCTCAGTAAATATTCAGAGAGAGGAATATTGATTTTTGTGTTTTTTGAGGAGAGGGAAATTGGGATTAAGAAAATGAAGCGGTGATGGGTTCGGAAGAGGCTTTGTGAAGAAAGCAAGAAAGAGAGGGGAAGTGGGAACCAATGCTGTTTGCACACCTCTGCCATCAACCCAAAAGGGGCAGCCCCATCCCCCAGTTTGCAAGGGCCTCTGCAAGGGGAGGGGTCAAAAAAGTCAAAATGGTGGCCATAGCTCTGTGATTAAAGCCCCACCCATTTTTCTATACTGCAAAAAGAGGACAGAGCTTTGATCATGTCAGAGATGCTATGTTAGGTTTTTATCCCCCCCCCCCCGTAGACATACCTGAGCAAGACCCTTTGTGGGGGGCCTGCATGACATTGGTCTCACCACTCCTCTAGCCTGGGCAAGAACAGAAAAGCCATTTATCCAAGGGCTTAACCTTAAAGCTTCCATTTTAGACACTTCCTTTTTTAAAAGAACTTAAAAATACTTAGGCGGTCCAGTTTGTGTGTGGGGGGGGGGGAGTACTTCGTTTTTCATGTGCTATCATTTTAATTTTTTTAAAATGATAAATAGGGGGTTTAAAATTAGGATATGGCCTCTGAGCCTCCAAGAAAGGCTGAATCTAAGTTTCCCCCAAAAGATGGTGGGTAGAGTTTCCATTTTCCGTTGTATGTATACGTACATATATCAGCACAAGAGGAAAACACAGCGTGAGATGGCGTCTCTACAAGAAGGGATCTTGTTGTTCAAAGTCCACCGGCTCCAGTAACTGCAAATATTGTACCAAGACAGATCCTAGATGCAAAACTAGTTTAAGATCAAATGGATATTTCAGGCGATATTTGCTGTTCTCAAAAAACAGATGTCTTACTGCTATTAGTAGTAAGAGTAGTAAGAGTAGCAGCAGTAGTAGCAATCTCAGAAGTAGCAGCCACCCCTAACCAACCTTGGTTGATGCTGGAAGTTAAATGAAGTGGGACCTGGTCAGGTGGATGGGGAAGAACCTCTTTTAAATATTCTTGGGAGATCTGACTCTTGCTCCAGATTCTGGCTGGGGGGATGTGGGATCCCTCTGTCGGGGGCTTTGTGGCTCTTAGTGGATGTTTGTCCCACGAGAGTCCCTTTTCTGTTTTGTTTGGTGTTTTACACCCTTCTTTTTCATTCTGTATGCTGCCCAGAGTCTTTGATGAGGTGGGTGGCCTTATTTTTTATATGATTGTAAATTATATTTTAATTTTAAAATTATAAATGAATTATAAACAATTATATTTATAATTTATAATAATATATATAATATATAATAAATATATTATTATATTTATAAT